TGATGTTAAAAATGCTCAACAGTATGAAAAAAGATATAGTAACTATGAAAAATGAACAGTCTGAGATAAAGAACGACATATCACAAATAACACATTGGAAGGAATACACAGCAGATTAGGGGAAGCTGAAGATCAAATCAGTGAATTAGAAGACAGAGTTGAAAATATCACTCAATTAGAGATCCAAAAAGAAAAAAAAAACAATTAAAAAACAGGAGGCCAGCTTAAGGGAGCTGTGGGACAACATGAAACGTAAAAATAATAGAATAGTAGGTGTGCCTGAAGAGGCAGAAAGGGAGAAAGGAATAGAGGTGTTTGATGAAATAATGGTAGACAACTTCCCTAACCTGGTAAAGGAAAAAATCACACAAGTTCAGGAATCACAGAGAACCCCAATAAGAAGAACCCAAACAAACCCAGACACATCATAATTAAAATGCCAAAAATTAAAGACAAAGAGAATCTTGAAGGCAGCAAGAGAAAAGAAAGCTGTTACCTACAAAGGAGTTCCCATAAGGCTGCCACCTGATTTCTCATCAGAAACTCTACAGGCCAGAAGGGAATGGCATGAAGTACTCAAGGTAATGGAAATCAAGGATCTGAGACCAAGATTACTATATCCAGCAAGGCTATTATTCAAAATAGATGGTCAAATAAAGAGCTTCCCAGACAAAAAAAAAAAAAAAAAAAAAAAGGCTAAAGGAGTGCATCACCACCAGGCAGCATTACAAGAAATGCTAAAAGGATTGCTGTAAGGGATTGCTGAGAAGAAACAGAGAGAGAGTAACCTAGCCATTCAGAATTAAAATGGCTATAAATAAGTACCTCTCAATAACCCTAAATGTAGCCCTAGCCGGTTTGGCTCACTGGATAGAGCGTCGGCCTGGGGACTGAAGAGTCCCGGGTTCGATTCCGGTCAAGGGCATGTACCTTGGTTGCAGGCACATCCCCCATAGGGGGTGTGCAGGAGGCAGCTGATCGATGTTTCTCTCTCATCGACGTTTCTAACTCTCTATCCCTCTCCTTTCCTCTCTGTAAAAAATCAATAAAATATATTAAAAAAAAATATAACCCTAAATGTAAATGGACTAAATGCTCCAATCAAAAGTGTAGGGTAGCTGAGTGGATACAAAAACATGACCCAACTATATGCTGTCTACAAGAGACCCACCTCAAAACAAAAGACACACACACAAGATGAAAGTGAAGGGATGGAAAAAATTTTCCATGCAAATGGAAAAGAAAAAAAAGCGAGTAGCAATACTCATATCTGACAAAGTAGACTTTAAAAGCATCATGCTAAGCGAAATAAGCTAGTCAGAGAAAGATAAATATCATATGCTCTCACTCATTTGTGGAATATAATGAACAACGTAAACTGATGAACAAAAATAGAGCCAGAGGGAAAAAAATATATACTAGAATATAATAGAAGTAATCCTGTTATTTGCAGATTTTCCTACAACTTTTGTGATATCATACTACAGTGGGGCCTTGACTTACGAGTGTCCCGACTAATGCGTTTTTTGAGATACCAGCTGTCTCTCGGCCGATTTTTTGCATTGAGTTGATAGAGTAATTTGAGTTAACGAGCTCCTTAATGAGCTCGGTCTCGGAACGAATTAAACTCGTAAGTCAAGGCCCCACTGTATGTTAGTACAGTTTTGGTAATATTATACTTAAAATCTTTTTATTCTTGAAATATTAATGTTTATTGCATGTAATATTATATGTAAGATCATTTTTCTTGAATAATTGGTGTTTATTGCATGTAACATCTAAAATCGTTTTTCTTGAGATATTAATTTTTATTGCATGTAACATTATTATATTTAAGATTGTTTTTCTTGAAATATTAAGGTTTGTTGCATGTAACATTATTTTATTTAAAATTGTTTTTCCTGAAATAAAAAAAAACTGAAAAAAAAGTAAAACTGGAAAATAAAAAGAAACCCAAAACACCAATCTGAAGGGATATATGCACCCCTATCTTCACAGCAGTGCAATCTACAATACACGTGTGTTTTTTCAATATATTCAGTTCTGTAAATGTATTTTCTTTTCCTTTTGACTTTCTTAATATTTCTTCTCTAGCTTTATTGTAAGAATGCAGTAGATAATACAGATAACATACAAAATGTGTGTTCGGCCCCGGTGAGGTCGGGACGGCCCCGGTGAGGTTGAAACGGCCCCGGTGAGGTTGGGACTGCTCCAGTGAGGTTGGGACAGATAGTGGGGACCAGTATAGACTGATGAACAGGGGTAGATGCAGAGGCAGAGCAACATTGAACAGACTGTCAAACTACAGTGGGAAGCCTGGGGAGGGTTTTGGGGGGCGGATTAAGAGATCAGCCGAAGGACTTACATGCATGCATATAAGAATAACCAATGGACACAAGACACCGGGGGGTAGGGGCCGGGGGAATGTCAAGGGGGGGAAAAAAGGAGACATATGTAATACTCTTTGTAATACTTTAAGAAATAAAAATTATATATAAAAAATGTGTGTTGAGTGTTCTCAGGAGGCTTGTTGTTAAAAGTAGGCTATAAGTAGTTAACGTTTTGGGGAGTCAAAAGTGGATTTTCAACTGCATGGGGGGTCAGCACTCTAACCCGTATGTTGTTCAAGGGTCTACTGTATGTACGTGTATTTGTATGTATATGTGTGTATACACACATATACATACACACACACGCATGTGTGCATTATTTGAAAAAGAAGGAAAATAATTTCAGCAAAATAATGTTTGTTTCACTTGAGCAAATTTTTAGATCTAAAATAGGGAATTTTGGGAATATATTTATTTAAATCAACAATCATCTCATAAGAATTATTTGATCAGTGATACAATACCCTCATAGATAATTTTAAATGGTTTATATCGATGATTATTGACAGAACAATTAAATTCAAGTTTATGTTCTTGACTGTGAACTGTTCTCTTGGTTTCATCTTTAGGTGGTAGAAAGCAGTTCAATATTTTGCTTGAAAATGCATAAAGAAATGGTTTTTAATTTAAAAAGTGTATTAGAACAGTGGAAGAAGAAGTTAAGTTCTGGCTCTCACATTGTATTAGGTATGTGTTTTAATTTCTCCTTATATTTAGAGAAGGCTGAGGTATTAGGAATCATGCCTTCAATTCATTTCTATATCTCATCTCCAAATTTCTCATCATTTCCCAGATTTATTGAGAATTTATTAATCTGAATTCCAAAGTGAAAATTAAGATTTTAACGTTGCCCTAGCCCAGGGTTGGGCAAACTTTTTGACTCGAGGGCCACAATGGGTTCTTAAACTGGACCGGAGGGCCGGAACAAAAGCATGGATGGAGTGTTTGTGTGAACTAATATAAATTCAAAGTAAACATCATTACATAAAAGGGTACGGTCTTTTTTTTTTTTTTTTTTTAGTTTTATTCATTTCAAACGGGCCGGATCCGGCCTGCGGGCCGTAGTTTGCCCACGGCTGCCCTAGCCAGTGTGGCTCAGTTGGGTGTTATCCTGTGCACTGAAAGGTTTCCGGTTCGGTTTTCTGTTAGGGCACATGCCCTGCTTTCAGGCTTAATCCCCAGTAGGGGGCGTGCAGGAAGCAACTGATGAATGTTTCACTCTCACACCAGTGTTTCTTTCTCTCCCTCTCCCTTCCTCTTTCGCTAAAAATCAATAAAAAAGATTTTTAAAACATTTAATATTGAAGTGGATCTAGGTGCCCCCCCGCCCCAGGACTCTCAGGACATTAGGCAGCAACCTTCCTTAGTCTAGACATTCTCCCTAGAGTTCCAGCTTGAGGGTCACTGTCTCATTTATATATACACACGTGCCTGTGATGAAGCATGTCATAAATGATTGTGACATTTAGTATTAGAAATTTAAAAGTCAAAATGTATAAAATAAATGTTAAAATAGATATGGGCAGCCTAAATTTTCAACAAAAAGAGAGTTTTTTTCTTAAGCTAAAAGGAGACCACTTTTCTCTGGAATTTAATCACAGGGCTGTGACATGTATTAGAAAAAATGGGAAAGCCCTGTCCCAGTAGCTCAGTTGGTTAGAGTGTTAGCCTGATATGCCAAGGCTGTGGGTTCCATCCCTGGTTAGGGTACATACAAAAAGCATCCAGTGACTGCATAAACAAGCGAAACAGCAAAGCGATGTCTCTCTCTCCCCGCCCCCCTCTTCCTCTCTCAAGTCAATAAATAAAAAGAAAAAGGGCCTGGCTGGTGTGGCTCAGTGGTTGAGCATAGACCTATGAACCAGGAGGTCACGGATTTCCAGTCAGGGCACATGCCTGGGTTGTGGGCTCAATCCCCAGTAGGGGGCGTGCAGGAGGCAGCCAATCAATGATCCTCTCTCATCATTGATGTTTCTATCTCTCTCTTCCTCTCCCTTCCTCTCAGAAATCAATAAAAAAATATATATTTTTTAGAAGGAAAAGGCTTTTTTGCATCTAAAAAGTAAAATGCAATAAAGAAATGTATTGAAGTACTACAGGCCTGATGCACGAAATTCGTGCAAGGGCCTTGGCCCCTGCTGCCGTGGCAGCCACCTCTGCCTCGGTTCCCAACCACCTCTGCTTCGGCTCCTGCCCGCCGTGGCTTTGTCCAGAAGGAAGGACGTTCAGTCTAATTAGCATATTATGCTTTTATTATTATAGATCATTATAGTTGGTTGCTGGAATTGTTTGGTAGAATGTAGTAAAACCCTAGTCTCATTTGAAATTGTCGGTATCCTTTTCTCTAGCCTTAACTGATGACTGCATACCACTCTTGGCCATTACTGATGCCACGTGTGTGATTCACTTCAGCTTTCCTTCCTCACCAAAAATTTTTGGTGGTCGCCTATATTGCATGTCTGATCATTTTCAGAGTTTAACTGAACAGGTTTGATTATGTTTTATTATCTTTAAATATTTTACTGTGTAACAAAAAATTCAGAATCCACAAAGTTTTGTTGTTCAGACTGGTATGGATGATCCACTTCCTTTATTCACCCCGATTTTAAGGGTTCTCTTGCAAAACAGGGAGGTAAAAAGGCCAAATCTGTCTTGCTGTTGACGGAGAGAAGTTCATGCCATGCTGTGGGTGTTTTGCGATACTTGGAAAGAGCAGATGCCAAGATTCCATCGGAGCTGTATCAGTTTACTGCAGGCGTTCTAGAAGCCAAGGAGGACAAGAAAGCCGGAAGGCCTCTCTGTCCGTATCTTAAGGCTTTTGGATTTTGCAAGTAAGTCAGGCATCTTTTTTTATCATTGAGATATACAGTAAAGGGCACAGGTGGTCAGTTTACAGCTCGATGCCTTGTGACATGTGTGCACCCATGTAAACCACCACCCGGCTCTGAGAGAGCGCCCAGAGACCCTCTCATGCTCCTTCCCAAGGTGCCCTTCCTCCAGAAGTAACACCCTCCTGATATTCATCAACATTGATCCGTTTTGCTTGTTTTTTTACTTCATATTCAACCTAATATCTGTGACATTTATCTGTGTTGTTATGTATCTCAGCCTTTGCTATTTGTTTATTAGTGGCTCAGTATTATTTATATGAATACTAGAGGGCCGGTGCATGAATTCATGCAAGGGTAGGGTCCCTCGGCCTGGCCGGTGATCGGGGCTGATTGGGGCCATCTCGCCCAGTCCCAATCGGGGCTGACTGGCTGGGGGAAGGGACTGTGGGAGGTTGACTGTTGGGAGACGCCACTGACCACCAGGGACAACTCCCCCTGGTGGTCAGTGCGCATCATAGCTACCAGCCGGTCGGTCGGTCGTACGGGTCACTTAGGCTTTTATATACAGTATATAGAAGATAACACAATGTATATATCTATTCTCTTGATGATCCTATGAGTTGTTTCCAGTTTGAGCTATTTTATAGGAAGCTGCTGTGAACATTCTTGTACCTATATTTTTGTGGAAATATGAACCCATTTCTCATGATTATATACTTTGTAGTGGAATTGCTGGATCATGGGATAAGCATATGTTTAACTTTTCCAAAGTGCTTGACCATTTTATGGTTTAATCAGTAATGTGTGAGAAGGTTTGAGTTGCTTTATATCCTCACCAAAACTTAGAATTCTGGGGTGTAGTGGTAAACCATTGTGATTTTCTTTTGTATTTTCCTAATAATTAATGATGCTGACTGTCTCTTCATATGCTTGTGGGACATTAGACAATCCTCTTTTTGTGATGTGCCTGTTAAGGTCTTTTGCCCATTTTTAAAAAATGGGTGTTTATCTTTTTCTTACTGGTTTGTAGGATTAATTAATTTATTCTAGATAGAAGTGCTTTGTCAGATATATGCATTGAGAATATCTTCTCCCAGTCTGTGGCTTGTGTTTTCACTCTTTTAATAGTCTTTTGATGAACAGACATTTTAAACACTGACGAAGTATTTTGTGGCTACTGTTTTTCATGTCCTATGTAAGAAATATGTGTCTGTCTCCAGGTCATGAAGACAGTCTCCTGTATCCTCTAGTACAGTGGTTCTCAACCTTCCTAATGCTGCGACCCTTTAATACAGTTCCTCATGTTGTGGTGACCCCCATTTCATTGTTACAAATTGAACATAATTAAAGCATAGTGATTAATCACAAAAACAATATGTAATTATATATGTGTTTTCCAATGGTCTTAGGTGACCCCTGTGAAAGGGTCATTCCACCTCCAAAGGGGTAGCGACCCACAGGTTGAGAACCGCTGCTCTAGAAGCTTTGTAGCTTTAGCTTTCACATTTAGGTGTGTGATCCATATTGAGTTAACTTTTGTGTACAGTGTGAGATTCGAGGCACAGCTTACTTTTTCCAAATGGATAATCACTTGCTGCAGCATCATTTATTTAAATCATCATTGTGTCCTCACTGAGTTGGTGCCTTTAATATAAACCAGATGACAGTATATGTGTTCCCTCTGTGGACTCTTTCAGTTACCTTGGTCTACTTGTCTATCCTTATACCAGTCTATTTTTTCTCAAGTATTGTAGCATATATTATAGTGAGTCTTGGCATCTGGTATATTAAGTTCTCCAACTTTGCCCTTCTTCAAGGTTGTTTTGGCTATTATAAGTCTCTTGCATCTCTATATACATTGTAGAACAGGTTGTCAACTTGTTCAAAAACTCTGCTGGAATTTTGATAGCAACTGCATCGATTCTGTAAATCAGTTTGGAGAATATGGATATCTTAACAGTAATGGGAGCCTCTCCGTAATCCAGGCATAATGCCATTACTTGATACATAAATGGATGGCTGGGACTGGGTAGTAGGTGTCTAATAATTTATTGGATTTAATGTAATTTTAAGATAACTTGACATGTATTTTTTAAATCTATGTTACATTAAACAGGTTATTATCAGCAGTTTCCACTATGCCTTTAAATAGAATGTTGACTTTTAAAACTGAAGCTTCTACTATTTCTAAGTTTGGGTTAAGGCCAGCATGTCAAACTCAAAGGCTAACACGGGCCAAATAAAGGAGGCATGCGGCCTGCAGGCTGTGACTTTGACATGCTTGGGTTAAGGAATGGCTCAGAGTCTATCTTGGAAATCCATTTTGTTCATTTATGTATTACACTTAAGCATGTCTAAAGAAATAATGAAGTAACTCGTTAATTCAGCATTAATTAAAATTTAGGGTCCTTTTCACATATTTATGCATTGTTGGTGTCATTTGAAGTATTTAGTATATTATCTTTTAAAGTGTTTCAAATAAAAGTTCTCTGATTTAAATTATAGATTCATCTCTGATTTCAAAATCTGGGTACTTTTTTTCAGAGACAAAAGGATTTGTCCTGATCGACACCATATTAATCCAGAAATAGACAATCCCAGAAAATTATCCAACCAAGCTATACCATTGTTTGGATACATTAAAGTAAGTTCTGTTGAAGATTGTTTTGTTGAACGATTAATGGTCATTTTAATGAACATATTTTTTAAGCAGCAGAACCTTAGTAGAATATAATTATGATTTCCAGTGGTCAGTATTAATTGACCACCATTAATCCAACAGTAGGCACCGATCCTTAGAAGGCTCCCAGGTTATTTAGAAAACCAAGGTCAAATTGGGGAAGTGGATAAACCCCTTCAACAATTTCAGAAAGAGTGTTTTTGCGGGGGAGGGATTATTAAAAATGATGCATTGACCACATGAGTCTTTTCAGAGCATCCATGATTATTGCTTTGAGGAAAATTCTGAGATGCAGATAGAATTGCTGAGTTTTCTTTTGAATCCTTTTTATTACTTTTTGAGCTTGATTTCCTTTTCACCTTCCCTTTCCCTTAAAGCAGCGGTTCTCAACCTGTGGGTCGCGCCCCCTTTGGCGGTCGAACGACCCTTTCACAGGGGTCGCCTAAGACCATCCTGCATATCAGATATTTACATTACGATTCATAACAGTAGCAACATTACAGTTATAAAGTAGCAATGAAAATAATTTTATGGTTGGGTCACAACATGAGGAACTGTATTTAAAGGGCCAGAAGGTTGAGAACCACTGTCTTAGAGTATATCTGTTGTGCTGTACTCATTTTCGGTGATTGCTGTAACAAACCATAAACTGGGTGACTCACAACAACAGATTTATTGTCCTGGTTGAGTGTCATCCTGTGCACCGAAAGGTCATAGGTTCAATTCCTGGTCAGAGCACATACCCAGGTTTCAGGATCGATCCTCATGTTTCTCTCTCACATGGATGTTTTCTCAACTACTTGAGTAAATACCAAAGAGCATTGTAGCATTGTATAGTAAGACTTTTTGTTTTGTAAAAAACTGCCATACTGTTTTCGGAAGGGCCTGTGCCATTTTGCATTCCCACCAGCAGTAAATGAGTTTTACCAGCATTTGATGTTGTCAGTGTTTTGGCTCTTAGCCTTTCTAATAGGGTATTTTTTTCCATTGAATTTTAGAGAGTGGGAGAGAGGGAGGGAGGTGGAGAGAGAAATGTTGATGTGAGACACATTGATTGGTAGCCTCCCACACACGCCCCAACCAGGGCCAGGGATCGAACCTGCAAAACAAGGTTTGTGCCCTGGACTGGGAATCGAACCCGAGACCCTTCAGTGCGTGGGCTGACGATCTGTCTACTGAGCCATACCGGCCAGGGTGGTCAGGGTGGTAGTGGTATCTTGTTTTAATTCGTATTTCCCTGATGACATATAATTTTGTTTTGTTTTGTCTTTTTTTAATCCTCAACCGAGGATATTTTTCCATTGATTTTTAAAGAGTGGATGGGGAGAGACAGAGAGATACATCAATGTGAGAAAGACACATTGATTGGTTGCATCTGGGGCCGGGGATCCTGCAACTGAAGTATGTGCCTGTGACTGGTATCGAACCTGCGACCCTTCAGTCTGCAGGCTGATGCTTTATCCACTGAGCCAAACTGGCAGGGCCCTGATGACATGATTTTGAACATCTTTTCATATGCTTATTTGTCGTTTGTATATTTTTTTGGGTGGGTGGTGGGATATTAGTTCAGGTGTTTTGCCCCATTTTTTGTTGTTAATCCTCACTCCAGGATATTTTTTCCATTGATTTTTAGGGAGAGTGGAAGGGAAGAGAGAGAGAGAGAGAAACATCGGTGTGACACATCGATTGGTTGCCTCCTGCACATGCCCTGGGGCTGGGAATCAAGCCTTCGAGCCTTCAGTGCACAGACCAGTGCTCTAACTATTGAGCAACACTGGCTGGGCTGCCCATTTTTTAATCTGGTTGTATGTTGTTTTAAATCTTTATTGTTGAGAATATTACAGATGTTTCCCTTTTTCCTCTCATTGCCCCCCACTGCCCTGTTCCCGCCCCACCCAAGGCCTTCACCACTCTACTGTTTGTGTCTATAAGTAATGCATATATGCATATAAGATCTTTGGTTAATCTCTCCCTGCTCCCCAACCCCCTTCCCTCTGAGATTCGTGAATCTGTTCCATGGCTCTTATTCTATTTTATTCATCAGTTTATTTTGCTCATTAGGTTTCTTGTTTGTTTGATTTTTAAATTTAGTTATTGATAGATATGTATTTATTGCCATTTTATTATTCATCTTTTTTCTCTTCCTCCCCTTCTTCCTCTTCCACCTCCTCCTCCCTTCCCCTCCTCCTCCTGCTCCTTCTCTCCCCTCTCCCCCCTCTCCCTGTAGCCCCCTCCCCCTCAACATTTCATGTAATAGTGTTTTGGTGGTGATGAACTCCTTTAGCTTTTTCTTGTCTGTGAAGCTCTTCATCTGATCTTTCATTCTAAATGATAGCTTTGCTGGGGAAAGTAATCTTGGTTGTAGGTCCTTGCTATTCATCACTTTGAATATTTCTTGCCACTCCCTTCTGGCCTGCATAGCTTCTGTTGAGAAATCAGCTGACAGTTGTATGGGTACTCCCTTGTAGGTAACTACAGTGGGGCCTTGACTTATGAGTGTCCCGACTAACAAGGTTTTTTGAGATACGAGCCGTCTCTCGGCCGATTTTTTGCTTTGAGTTGCAAGCTCAAAAAAATTCGGATTACGAGCCAGCTTCAGATACCCCACCGCTAGTTGGCGCAGCGAACGTCACAGTGATTTGACATACGAGTAATTTGAGTTATGAGCTCCGTCACGGAATGAATTAAACTCGTAAGTCAAGGCCCCACTGTAACTGTTTTTCTCTTGCTGCTTTTAAGATTCTCTCTTTGTCCTTTGCCCTTGGCCTTTTAATTATGATGTGTCTTGGTGTGGTCCTCTTTGGATTCCTCTTGTTTGGGGTTCTCTATGCTTCCTGGACTTGTAAGTGTATTTCGTCACAGGTAGGAAAGTTTTCTGTCATTATTTCTTCAAATAGGTTTTCAATATCTTGCTCTCTTCTCCTTCTGGCACCCCAATAATGTGAATGTTGGTATACTTGAAGTTGTTCCAGAAGCTCCTTACACTATCTTCATATTTTTGGATTCTTTTTTCTTTTTGCTCTTCTGAGTGGGTGTTTTTTGCTCCCTTATATTCCAAGTTGTTGATTTGATTCTCGGAATCATGTATTCTCCTGTTGAATCCCTGTAAATTATTCTTTATTTCAGTTAGTATATGCTTAATATCTTACTGGTTGTTTTTCGTGTTTTTGACATTCTCACTAAGATGCTTGAAAGTCTTACTAAGTCCCTTGAAGCTCTCATTAATTCCCTTGAAACTCTCATTAAGACCCTTGAATAACCTTATAACCATTGTTTTGAACTCTGTATCCAGTAGTTTGCTTGCTTCCATTTCTTTCATTTGTGACATGTTTCTTTGTCACAGGAGGCACAGACCATTTTACAGTGTTCATATTTCCACAAAAATATAGATACAAGAATAAACAGTTTCTTTGTCCACATTTTGGCTGCTTCCCTGTGTTTGTTTCTCTATATTAGGTGAAGCTGCTCTGTCTCCTTCAGTTGGTAGAGTGGCCTTGTGTAGTAGGTGTTCTATAGGGTTCAGTAGCTCAGCCTCCCCAGTCATCTGGTCTAGGCACTCCATATGTGCCCCTTTGTGGGCTGTGTGCACAGTCTTTTTTTTTTCCACGGGGTGGGGGGCGGTGTGGGGGTGAGGGAGGCAAAGGGGAGGGACCGGGGAAAGCTGCTCTCGCTGCAGCTCTGGCCCGTGGGGCGCAGGGACACTCCAACCCAGGAGGAGGGAGGGGGAAGGAGGTGGGAAGGGGCTGCACAGTCTTATTGTAGTTGAGTTTTGATTGCTGTTGGTGTCACTGGAGGAATTGACCTCCAGGCCAATTGGCTGTGAGGACCAGCTGCATCCACAATGGGAGAGCTGCTGTGTAGGAGACACCCCTGTGGAGCAGGACTTGTTTCAGTGGGGCTTTGGTGCTCACTGAGTCTGCCCATTGAGTGTGTCGTGTTGTAATCTGGTATGGTCTGAAGCTGTCAACTGGTGGCCCTGACTCTGGGGCTTCCCAGGAGGTGCAAAGTCAGCCACTGCCTGGGGTCTCCTGGCAGGAACTACAAAGAGATCTGCAGATGGCTGCTACTTGTATTGGGCTAGGAAGTGCCCAGGCAAAGCCTAGCTGTGAAGCAAGGCAGGCTGGTGCTAGTGCCAGGTCTTGGGCCTTTTATTGATAGGTTTGATGCCAGCTGTTGCTGCTTCCAGAGATTTTAACAAAGTCTGAAGCCTGAGCTAGGACAGGCCATTCATATGGAAAAGCTACTGCAAACAGGTTGGGTGGGGCTGCAAATTGGATGGGGTAGGGTCTCAGGGAATCACCAGGATGGATGAATAATATGGGCTATGCTGATAGAAACTCAAATATGGCTGCCAGTCAGCTCTGCTCTGGGGGAGGTCCCAGCACAGTGACAATGACCCCTGCGAGCACCTCTGTCTGGGAGAAAGCCGACTCCAAGTTCCTGGCCTGATGCCAGACAGTCCATTTCCTCCCCAGATATCCTTGGATTGTCCCAAAGCTGCCATCCAGCGCTGGAGCTCAGAGGAAGCAGGACCATGTAAGTTTGTGTGCCGGCCCTTTAAGGGGAACATCTGGGACTCCAGTAGCATCCCTGTCACTCAGCCACAATCCCCACTGGTTTTTACAGCCTGAAGTTATAGGGACTTCTCTTCCCAGTTCTGGAACCCTGGGCTGGAGGTCTGGTATGGGGTTGGGACCTCCTACTTCTCACAGGAGGCCTTGACAATATCTCTCCCAATTAAAAAAAAAGGCACACATGGGTGTGGAACCAGCCTTTTCTACACCTCCAACTCCTGCTACCAATCACAATGTATTTTCTTCTTTACTTCTCTAGTTGTAGGACTTTCATTCAGCCAGATTTCGGGCGGTTCTGAATGATGGTTGTTCTGTATTTTAGTTGTAATTTTGATGTGGTTGAGGGAGGCAGTGTGTACCAGCATTTACCTATGTTGCCGTCTTGGTTCTCTGATTGTATGTTTTCTTATTGTTTAGTTTTAAGTGTTTGTATATTTTGGATACCAGCCCTCTATCAGATATGTATTTTGCAAAAAATTTCTTCAAGTCTGTGGCTTGTCTTTTCATTCCCCTTAGAGTATTTTTTTGCAGAGCAGAAGTTCTTAATTTTAATGAAGCCCAACATTCCAATTTTTTCTTTCATGGATTGTGCTTTTGGTGTTGCATACAGACTCATTGCCAAATCCAAGGTCACCTAGATTTTCTCCCTGTTATCTTCCTCATCTGCTGTTATATGGGGGTCCATGGGGATACTTGGTCAGTTTTAATTGCAAATTGTTTCCCTGACTTTTTGGTTTGCTGTCTCATTGATCTGTCTTTATGTGGAGATTCAGGGATGATAAAAAAATACAACACTTGACTACTGCCATCTTCCCAGAACCCTTCTAACCAAGCCTCTTTTTTTTCAACCACCTGAGGATATGTATTTTTATTGATTTTTAGAGAGAAAAAGAGAGAGAGAAACATTGATATGAGAGATAAACATTGGTGTGAGAAACATTGGTCGGTTGCCCTCTGCAAGCACGCTGACCGGGGACTGTGGAAGAGAGAGAGAGAGAGAAAGAGGAAGGGAGAGGGAGAGAGAGATAGAAACATCAGTGATGAGAGAATCATCAATTGGCTGCTTCCCGCACACCTGGGGATCGAGCCCGCAACCCAGGCATGTGCTCTGACCAGGAATTGAACGGTGACCTCCTGATTCATAGATCAACACTCATCCACTGAGCCACGCTGGCTGGGCTAGTTTGTTCAGTTTTGATAAACATATACAATCATGTAACCAATACCACATCATGATATTAAAACTTCCATTACCCCAGTGAGGTCTCTCCTTTCCCCCTTGAAGTCAGTCAGTCCTTTCTCCACTCCCCCAACCCCTGGTAACTCCTGATCTGTAACTATCAGTTTGTCTTTACTAGAATTTCATATTAATGGACTCATACAGTATGTAGGCTTCTGTGTCTCATTTCTATCAGCTTAATTCTTTTGAGATTCATCTATGTTGCTCTATTTTATTGCTGAGTAGGATTCCATTTATATGGATTTATCATGGTTCGTTCACAAGTTGATGGGCATTTGAGTGGTTTGTGTTTCTGGCTGCCATGAACATTTGTGTTTCAAGTGTTTTACACATTTTCATTTCTCTTGAGTAAGACCTTGGAGTGAAATTGCTGGGTCATATGATAAGTGGATATTTATAAGAAGCTGCATGCTCACCAGCACTGCATATGAGAATTCCGGTTGGTACAATCTCATCAATACTTGGTATTCTCAGTCTTTAATTTTTGCCACTCTGTTGCATTTGCACTGATATCTTATTTTGTATTTCCCTGGTGATAAAGAAGCTTGGACATCTTTTCACTGCTTATTGACTATTTGTATCTCTTCTTTTATGAACTCTCTGTTCAGAATTTATGTCCACTTTTAAAATTTAGGGTTTTCTTTTTGTTGAGTTAAGAATTCTTTATATATTCTGGATAATATATATCCTTTGTCAGATATATTGCAAATATTTTCTCCCACTTGAAAATCAAAACTCGGTTGAAGCATTGTCCTGTACACCAGAAGGTTGAGGGTTCGATTCTGTGTCAGGGCACATACCTAGGTTGTAGGTTTGATCCCCGGCCAGGGTGGGTATGGGAGGCAACCCATTGATGTTTCTCTCTCTCTCTCTCTCTCTCTCTCTCTCTCTCCCTCTCTCTCTCTCTCCCCCTCCCTCCCTCCCTCTTTCTTTCTCTCTCTCTCTCTCTCTCTCTCTCTGTGTGTCATCAATAAAATCATGTCCTAGCCCAGCCTGGCATGGCTCAGTGGTGAAGCACCGATCTATGAACCAGGGAGGTCACAGTGGATTCCCATCAAGGGCACATGCCTGGGTTGCGAGCTCGGTTCCCAGTAGGGGGCGTGCAGGAGGCAGCTGATCAATGGTTCTCTCTCATCATTGATGTTTCTCTCTCTCTCTCCCTCTCCCTTCTCTGAAATCAATAAAAATGTATTTAAAAAGAAAGTATTACAGATGTCTCCCTTAAAAAAAAACGCAATTGATTTTTTACCCTTACCTTGTATCCTGTGACCATACAAACTGAGTTAGTTGTGTGCATAGGTACTGGGGAGAGTGGAATCAAAACAGGTGGGGGGTGGGGTGTCGAGAAGGGACCCTCCCGGGGTGCCCAGACTGGGGGGGGGGGCGGTTCTGGCATGTGGGACTTTCAGTGCTGAAAACAGGATGGTATGGGATAGATCAGGACAAGTTGATAACCCTACCCTGTCTGGAGGCCTCATGCTCTCCTTCTGTTGAGAGAGTCCAGTTCACAAGCTGCTTTTTGCTGCCTCCTTTCTGCCAACCTATGTCTTTGGATGTGCTAGTGACCTACGGCGGGACTGCTGCAGCTGAGGCCAGCTCGGCCTGGACTTTGTCTACCCCGTGTGTGCTGAGGCCCCTCTCCTTGACATAAAGCCTTGTTATTTGGGAAGTATGGGAGGAAGAAACTCTCCTCTTTATTCCTGTCACTCTAAAACAATCACATTACCATTTTAGTATATTTTTTCTCATTTTTCTTTGTACATCTTTTAAATTTTTGTTATTGGTGTATGTATTGTGCCCTGCCCATTTCTCGTAACATTGTAGTGAGCTTTTCTCATCCTCCGTACTGCCTCATGGTCACTGACTGCTGTCACCAAGTGGGTTAATGAATGGAATGCCAGGCTGAGGGGGCCTCTAAACCTTAGGGGAGAAGACTCCCTGGGAAGGATCGTTGCCAAGCAGGAAGGAATGCTGAACTCCTGCCTGAGGTGGGGCAGGCCTGAGTAAGCACTCAGGGCTTATTGAGGCAGCTTTCTGCACGGGGGTGCTGGAGAATGGCTGGCTTGGGAACTGTGACTGACATGTTACCGGTCCCCTTTCTGCTGACATTCTAGTGGGGATGGTCCACAGTGGACAGGTGAGTAAGAAAGATGTGCTGTGAAGAGGATGAAATGTAGGGAAATACTAGGGGGTATGCTGCTGTAAGGGTGCCAGGGGGCAAGGGGCCCTTTGAAAATTATAGGCAGGGAGGGACTCTCTGAGGAGAGTCAACTGCATTGAGGGTCAGATAGAGGATCCAGCCATGGGAAGACCTGGGGAAGAATATTCCAGGCAGGAGGAACCAGCATGGTACAAAGGCCCTG